AACCCGGATGGCCTTTTCTTAGCTGTTGAAATAATCCCAGTTTGACTTTCAATAATTTCTTACGGAACACATTACCCTCCACAGGTATCAAAGGCAATATAGGGATTGTGACGATTTGCAATAATTATAATGCTTTTCAATTAAGACAAGGGCTAAATGATTGTCTTTTAAAAGACGGGGTGTTCTATATTACTGGCTAGCTACTCAATATAATGTGGAATCAAATAATCCCCGAGCGGGCGCGGAGCGCCTGCGAGGGTACTAATTCCGCTCGGAGATTATGAATTACACCCGGAACCCGGCAGAACATAGCGGAATCCATGTCAAAAATTCTTTGTCATGGACGGTCGACGTTGGGGGTTTTGTAAGTTGTGCGCATGCGCGAGTAACGACTGGTAATCAACAAAGGTTCTGATTGGCTAACACAAAAAGTTTGTATTTCATTGAGAACGTCAGCAATTTAACTGTCATTTCGTAAACCTTTTTGTAAAAGCGTTTCATAAACTTTGTGCAAAATAAAATGATAAGAAACAAGATATATGAAGTATGACACATAGCAAAGAAGAACATAAATACAGTCAAGCCAAAGCCGTGTAAGAGAAATAATTCATAATATGAAAGCTTATAAGTGTTTTGAAAGGGTATATATATATATATATATATATATATATATATATATATCTACACGTGTTTACTTTGTTTATTTCTTATTTGCTTCGCGGTTAACCGGAGGAGCTTTATTTGTATAATTTTACGCTTTCTATGCCGTTGATTTGTTTAATTTTCAGCCTTGTATAATTTTCAGCTTTTTGTACAATTAAACGCATAAACCTGTGAAACAAATGCATAAACCTGTGTTTTTGAAAGTTTTATTTTGAATTTTGATATAAAAATACACACTAATATAAAGAATAAAACTTTCAGCCGTCGACTGCATTACAGAGTAAAATAACATTTCAGGTTTTTTCTTTGTCTCTGAAGATTTTGTGCTGTTTTAATCGTTTGGAACTTCGATTTTAAAGCATTATTCAGCCTTGGTATAATGCAGCATAATTGTATTTTTGCATTGAATATGATTGAAATATTAGCTATAATATACTCGGTAAAATATAATAAGACTGATTTGAGTTTTGTGTCATTTCATAACATAAGTTTAGGAGCATGTTGGCTCAGAAAATTGTGTACTTGGTTTGAAATTGCGAGGCGTTGCTGCATGCATGAATTTCTATAGTATTTCAATTATTGTTCCTAGAATGAAATCGTCTAAACAATCCCGTTATGTTTTCAACTTTACTATACCTTGAATTATGTGAATATATACTTATTCATGCATGTGTAGTAGGCGGTTAAAAGCAATTTTTTCCTATATAGTGGTTCTGCGCATGCAGTTGTTTATGCGCAATGCCAAAAAATATACGTAACTTCGATACAATCATGTGGTCTTGCTGTAAATTGTTTCGACACTGGGCAGGTTTGGCTATGCTTTGGCTATTGGTTATGTTTCGCGCACGAATATATGTGTATTACGTAATCAGTTACAGCTATATATGACGTCATATAGACAAATCTGGGACCGGTTGTTCAAAAGCAGGCTAAGTTTAAGCCTGGGTTGGTTGTAAACCAGGCCGGTGTTGTTCAAAGCAGGGCTAGCGGAAAGGTTGGTTAACCCAGGGTTAAACATTTAACCTAGGATTAAAAGTATTTTAAGAACTAAATTGGATATAAGAACGCTTTCGATTGGTCAATAAACGAGCGTGAAAACTTTACGCGACGAGGAAATATTGTCAATCTATTTAATGAATGAATTTGAGGCATTCTTTGATTATTAAATTCAGGAACAAACGTAGCCTAACCACTTGCTGCCAATCTAGAGAATCGAATTTTGGCATCTGAAACCAATATTTCGATTACGATGTTTCAATTTGTGCGGTTGTATTTATTTATCATGTATTGTATTGAAGCGATAAATAAATCAATACATCAGCTTAAACCGAACGAAGTCAGACTTAAATAATTCTCTGCTCCGAAACTGTTAGTAAAACGGCTCAAAAGTGGTAAATTCATGAAGAATTGTACGTGTTTCCGCTCCTTATTCATCCATTTTGAATTGAAGTTAACCCACGATTAAAACGTTAGACAACCTAGCTAGGAGCGTTAATTCTTTATAAATTTTAACCCAGGGTTATCGCTAACCGAGCTTTGTGCGACGCAAATCAACCGAGGTTTTAAATATTAATAATATTTTACCCTGGGTTAGGCATTTTTTACCCTGGGTTAGCATTAACTGGCTTTTGAACAACCGGTCCCTGGTATATATTATTATTTATACTGCATATTATTCTACTCGATATAGAGCACACTGACTGGTGTCCAACAATATTACGTCATAATAACTGCATAATTTTATTTACTTATAGTAATAAAATCTTAGCACTTTTGGCTCGAGTGGTTGTCAACATCTCGAGGAAAGACGATATTCAATGGCATAATATTTTATAGTATAACATCCTAATATTTCTTTCTGTTAGTACGTGTTTCATAAAAATATGTTAACTTCTGCAGTCCTTTATCAAGTCGTGCTTAGTTTAGCCGGCGCATTTTTCATATATAGGATTCTGAAATATTTCACAAATATTATGCATATATATGCATAAATATGAGTCAACTGCTAGCAAACGAGACTGTAAATCGACGTCGACTGGGACATTTTGAAGAAATGTGTGATATTTTTACAGTGGAAAGGTCTGGCTCAGGTAATATCTGCGTAGTGTTATCATTCACATCGAAATTCAGCCTGGTAAATCAACATGTTCGCGACGCTTTGATACTCGTCGCCAAACGACAACCAATGCTTCGAGCAGTCATAACAACAATGTCAAACGGCGAAAAGTATTTCGAAATCAAGGATATCGATGAAGTTATCGAGATATTGGATATCGCAGCTTATCCTGAGGTTAAGTCTTCAAACTGGCGAGATATTTGGTTCGAGCATTCATCGAAGCAAAGAGGGAACGGGCTGTTATGGAGAGTTGCAGTATTGAAAGAGGAATTTTCATCAGACAGCAAAGATTATGCAAATACTTTAATGTTTAACTTTAATCACTCATGCATTGACGGCGTCTCTTGTGTAAAATTTTGTCAGCAGTTACTCGCCAGGATGAACGAAGTCGCGAATGGCACTGCATGTATTGACCAAGAAGTATCTAGTCTGGAACTTCTGCCATATTATCATGATATAATTACACGTAAACGATTTTGGCATTCGCTATATAAATTTGCTGTTACTTTCTGTGGCCTGAGACCGATTTTGAAATATCTGGTGGGAAAAATCATTGTTCGTGCTTTGGAAAAGAAGCAGATGAATCCGTATCAAGCGCAGTTTCCATCGCCTCAGGAAATTCGTGCAAATACAAACATACGTCCACCGACCTGTCGGGTATTTACCCTAGCTGAGACTAAAGAAATTGTGACAGCTTCCAAAGCCCATAGTTGCACAGTGACTGGAGCAGTCATAGCTTCGATACACATAGCATATTGTCAAATACTTCGAGGCAATAAATCTAAAGATATGATGCTAGACTACATGTTCTCCATTAATGGTCAACGCTTTTGTAACCCCAGACCGGACAACGATTACTTGGGCGTCATTTTGTATAATTCGGACTACAAACTAAAGTATCTTTCAGACACAAACATTGACTTCTGGAACCTTGCCAGAGAAATATCTCAGCAATTAAAACATATTGTAAGGAAGGAAGCATTTATTGCACAAATGACGGTGTTAGATCAGGCGTCAGAACCGAAGGAATTAATTAATAAGGTTTTTGATGAAAATTCCTTGGCTAAATCAATGTGCAATTACATTTCTAGTTTGGGGTCTTTTCGAGTAGACGAAACGAAGGAACGATCTGAATATTATAATTTGGATAACTGTTACATAAACACTCTTGCGCCTGATATGAACTGCAATTTCTGTCATTTTGTGTACACTATTAATGGGAAAATGACCTGGCAAATTGCAATTAGTGTTGTTGTAGATAGTAGCGATGCTGATACGTTTTGCAGTCTTTGTTTTGATAAGCTAATTGAAATGTCAACGCAATACCCAAAACACCCACTGCAATAAAAAAACGAAGACCAAGATCGGCAAGACCAGACCAAGGTCGGCAACAGACGTGCAGTGACAAAGCGACGTTTTATGTTTCTCGCAAGGAACTGAACTGAACTCATTGAACTTTATTTATCCACGGTGGATTCATCAGGGTTACAAATTGCAGCTACATGCAATAAACTATAAATATATGCACACTAAAATATATAATACAAATACAAATCAACCTGGTTTCCATGAATGCCGTGTCGTGAAAATGTGTCAAATGTCATGTTTGTGTTGTGTGTGTATTTTATATTCATATAGTTATATTCATTTATGTGGAAATAGAGTAACTTGAAAACAGGGGAAATAATGCGCGCAAACAAACGCACGTCCAACCACGAAGAAGGAAACCGCCTGTCCCACACGCTAACGCAAACGGATGGAAGAATGGGGGCAGTGCGGTTAGAGAGTTAACCGCGTTGCGGGAAAAAACATCCTGGGACGTGCATAAATTGCGCAAAGGAAATTGATGTCAAAATGGAATAATATCCCCTATAGCTTTAGTATAAATATATGTAGAATTGTAAACTTTAAGTTAGTGTTATTAGGAGAGTTGTATTGTGTGGTGTGTTGTCACCGTAACGTCAGAGTGAGTGTGTCTTTCTTAAGCGTGTCGTCTTAAGAGTATTGTGTCATCGACGTGCACTAAGTGTGTACAAAATATACCTGTACATAGAGTGTTAATAAAAGTTAAAAATACAGTCCCCGAGTTGTGGTATTCGTTGAATCTGGTGCCAGCAGCAGCGTAACTTGCAGAGAGGCGAAGTTGCGCGACACGTGGTCCTTCGAGCCGGATACAAGCAGATTCAAGAATTCAGCAGAAATCGAGTGTCGAAGTGTAGCTATGTCAGGTATATCGAGAAAACGGGCAGAGAGAGGCGGGCATCGAGCCTACGTCACCAGGAGTTTGGCACGGGCCAAAACTCTAGTAGAAGAAGTCACAGGAGAAAGTGTGTTGGAGCTTAATACGTTGAAGCTCAGCTTATCAGATAAGAGAGAAACAATAAAGAAGCTAGATGAGCAAATTTTAGGACTCATTGAAGATGACGGAGACGTCGAAGCGGAAATAGAGTCAGCGTCGAAAACGTCCGACGAGATATACGAGGGGTTAGCGGCGATTGAAATGGCCATAAAAAGGGTCGAATTATCGAATCGGCAAGCCGGGTCGCAACAAGAAACATCGAGGGCCAAGGCTAGCGCTCAAGCGCGGGTAAAGCTTCCTAAACTCGAAGTTCGGAAGTTCTCGGGAAAAGTACAAGAATGGCCAGAGTTCTGGGACGCCTTCAGCAGCGCCATTCACGAAAACGAATCCTTGTCGGACGTAGACAAGTTCACTTATTTGCGAGGGTTGCTCCAGGAGCCTGCAAAATCGGCGATTGCAGGGTTTGCGTTGACGTCCATAAACTACGAAGCGGCCGTAAAACTTCTCGAGCGACGTTTCGGTAATAAGACAATCGTACAGCGGGCGTACATCAACGATTTGCTAAATTTGAAGCCAGTGTTCAATGGGAACGACACAGAACGTTTGCGCAAGTTTTTCGACGTAGTTGAAACCAATTATCGGGGGTTAGAGGCGCTCGGTGTCAAAGAGGAAGTCTACTCGGAGATCGTAGTACCGTCGATCCTAAATAAGCTTCCAGAGGTCGTTCGACTGACAATAACGAGGGGTGAGAAGTATATGGAATGGACAATGAACGACGTGGTCAAAGCATTGTTGGCAGAGATAGAATTGCGTGAGTGCCATGATTTAACCAGCCAGACAACCAACCAAAAGGGAGAATATCAGGGGCGACGCCGTCTACCGGGAACAATCAACACGTTGTTAACAAAGAAACAAGGACTTTTCTGTGCTTATTGCACTGGAAATCACAAGAGCGAGGAATGTAGAAAGGTCACGGACAGAAAGGAGAAGTTAGAACTATTACGTAAGTTTAATAGATGTTTTAAATGTATAAATAAGGGTCATGTAGCTAAAAATTGTCGTGCACGTAATAGTACTTGTCATGTATGTGGCGGCCCGCACCATGTTTCGATCTGTGAGAAAGAGTGTGAGGGAGGTAGTGGCAACCAGAGTAAGGAAGACGAGAAAAGCAGGGAAGAGCATGCAGACCAGGCAGAAAATGGCCATAAAAGCCTTCATGTAGGTACAAGTTGTAGAGTTGCCTTACAAACAGCGCAAGGTATCTTGAAGGGTGAAAGAGAGAAAAGAGTGAGAGTGCTTTTTGACTCAGGTAGCCAGAAATCTTTTGTAACATCCAGGGCAATGAATGACGCAAAGTTGCGTGTGATTAGAAATGAATGGCTTGCGATTAATACGTTTGGTACGGCGGCGGACAAAGGGAAGTCAAGGAAGGTTGTTGATTTTGAAATTGTGTCGAAACGTGGCGATCGGAAGTTGCGGGTAGAGGCGTTGGTTGTGCCGGAGATCTCGCGAATTAGGAACGAGCATCTTGAGGTTGTTAAGGGTCAGTATCCACATTTGCAAGGTTTGTGGTTGTCGGATGTTTGTAAAACGGGTGAGATGTTAGAGATTGATGTGTTGATTGGGGCAGACAATCTTTGGGCCTTTCAAAGTGGGAAAGTTTTGAAAGGTGGTGATGATGAGCCAGTTGCTGTTGATACGATGTTAGGTTGGGTGATTAGTGGTCCACTGCTTGGGAGCTCAGAAAATGAAATAGCTAACGTTAATCTTGTTTCACAGGGCGGAGAACAAAACGAGTTAAGTTCAATAGGAGCGGATATAGAGAAACTATGGGATTTAGATACCTTAGGGGTTAAGGAATGTGATGACGTGCATGAAGCGTTACTCGACAAGATAACATTTAACGGATCAAAATATTCGGTTAAGTTGCCGTGGAAACAAGGTCACGATCATTTGCCATCCAATTATTCGAACAGTTTGGCTCGCATGAAGGACAGATAAAACGACTTCATCGGAACCAAGTTTGCTAAGAGAATACGATGCGATAATAAAAGAGCAGGAAACCCTAGGTATAATTGAGAGGGTGGGGGAACTGGAAACAAAGGAAAGAGTGCATTATTTACCCCATCAAGCGGTTGTACGTAGGGACGCAAAAACCACAAAATTACGTATTGTTTACGATGCGTCGTCAAAGGAGGGTAAGAAGGGAACATCCCTCAATGATTGTCTTCATGTGGGCCCTTCACTGACGCCATTGTTATTTGATATTTTACTAAGGTTTAGAGAAAACCCAGTAGTGTTAATCGGTGATATAGAAAAGCATTTTTGAATGTAGAAGTAGCACAAGAGGACCGGGATTATTTGAGATTTTTGTGGGTAAGAGATGCTGTAGGAGGTAATTTAGAAATTTTAGTATACAGGTTTTGCAGAGTAGTTTTCGGGTTAAATGCATCCCCATTTTTGTTAAACGCGACCCTTAGACATCATATTGAACAGTTTAATGAGAGCGATCCAATCTTTGTTCAGAAACTCAAGGACGGTTTCTACGTAGATGATCTAGTTTCAGGAGGTAGAGTAACTGAAGAAGTTAGAGATTTGTATGAAAAAGCCAAAAATCGAATGGCTATGGGGGGATTCAAACTGCGCAAATGGATGACGAATGACGCAGCACTGCGAGAGCATATAGGCAAAAACGAGAGCCAGGCTAAGAAGGATAAGGTCACAAGGTTAGACGACATTGAGACGTATGCGCAGGCAAGCTTAGGAATTGCGCAAGATGGAAATAATGATAAAGTATTAGGGATCAATTGGGATTACGAAAAGGATATTATTATGTTTGATTTTTTGAAATTAGTAGAGAGTTTCAAGGAAGAGAAATTCACAAAAAGAAAATTACTAAGTGCGTTGGCCAAGATATTCGACCCGCTAGGCTTGGTTAGTTGCGTAGTTGTTTTGATGAAGATCCTATTTCAGAAGTTGTGTGTCGACAACTTAGGCTGGGATGAGGAATTAGTTGAGCAAAACTCAAGGGAATATTTAAACTGGATTGAGGATTTGGAAAGAGTAAAATCGATTACGTTAGATAGATGCGTTTACAATAATATAAATGGCGAGATTCAGTCGTGTGAACTGCATGGATTTGGCGACGCAAGCGAGAAAGCTTATTGCGCCCCAGTTTATTTTGTGTGCCATACATCAACAGGAGTTTATGTCCAGTTGTTGACAGCAAAAACCAGAGTTGCACCGCTTAAGACTCTTACAATACCGCGACTTGAACTTATGTCAGCACTGATGTTAGCTAAATTGGTAGATTCCGTAAAGAAGGCTCTTGCGACGCAAGTTAAGTTTACTAACGTTAGATATTGGTTAGATAGCATAACGGCCTTATATTGGATCCAAAATCATGGCGAATGGAAACAATTTGTACGCCATAGGGTAAATCAAATTCTAAATCTGAGCGATAAGGGGAATTGGAGCCACTGCCCGGGGCTGGAAAATCCCGCAGATTTAGGAAGTAGGGGAGTATTAGCATCTAAGTTGCAAAACGATTCATTGTGGTGGACTGGGCCACAATGGCTGAGCAGCGGGGAAAGTGCATGGCCAGAAAAGGGGAAAATTATTGCCACAGAAGGTAGTAAGGCAGAGGAGAAGAAAGCAACTGTGCTAGTTCGAATACGAAGAAAGTTGCATCAGTAGGCAACATAGTTAATATAGAAAGATATAGTTCTCTAGAGAGATTAGTACGTGTGACTGCATGGGTGCAACGATTTGTACGGAAATTGATTGCGAAAACAAAGGGGAAAGAAGAGTTTGCAAAATCAGATTATTTAAAACGTGAAGAATTAGTAGCAGCAGAAAGACTTTGGGTAAAAGCCTCGCAAGTAGAGTTTAGAGAAGATGAAAAATATAAGCAGTTAGAAAGGCAGCTTAGGTTAGTTGAGGAAGAAGGAATAGTGAAATGTCGAGGAAGATTTGCAGAGTCAGACTTAAGCGAAGACGCCAAATACCCAATGTTATTACCAAAGGAAGGTAGATTGACGGAGTTAGTAATTATTAACTGCCATAATAAGATACATCACAGTGGGGTAAGGGCAACGTTAGCGGAAATACGATCACGTTATTGGATTCCCAAGGGTAGGCAAAGGGTTAAAAGTATCATAAACAAATGTACGGTGTGTAAGAAATTAGAGGGAAAGCCTTATAGCGCACCAAAGGAAGCTGATCTTCCGGAATTCAGAGTAAAAGAAAGCGAACCATTTTCAAAAACTGGGATAGATTTCGCCGGACCATTGTTTGTCAAAAATGCGACCAACGGAACCGATAAGGTTTACATTGCCTTATTTTCATGCTGTGTGAGTAGAGCATTACATTTAGACTTAGTGAGAGATTTGTCAACACAAGAATTTTTGCGGTGTTTGAGACGATTTTCAGCTCGCAGAGGAACTCCGGCACTGATAGTAACCGACAATGCGAAAACATTTAAAGCCTCCGCCAAAGCCGTGAAAAAACTATATAAGTGCGAGACCTTGCAGGGTTTCTTAGGAGTCAACAGGATTGAGTGGAAATTTAACTTAGAACGAGCTCCCTGGTGGGGTGGATTTTTCGAACGGATGGTGCAGTCGGTAAAAAGATGTTTGAGGAAGGTGCTGGGGAGTGCGAGACTGACCTTTGATGAGTTGTTGACGATGTTAGTGGAAGTTGAGGGGACGCTCAACTCTAGGCCACTAACATATGCTTATGACGAAGTTGGTAGTGAACCATTGACGCCGTCTCATTTGTTGGTTGGTAGGAGACTGAAGTCAATGCCGGACGGTGTGGTTGGTGAGGAGTCGGACGAGGAATACTGTAGTAAACGGTTTAGGTATTTGTGTAGAAAAAAGCAGCATTTTTGGAATAGGTGGCGTAAAGAGTATCTTACTGATCTTAGAGAATTCCATCGTGGAAATCAAGAAGATAGTAAGAGGGTGGTAAAAAAGGGAGATGTTGTGGTTGTATTTGAGGATAATGTGAGGAGAGGAAATTGGAAGACGGCTGTTGTTGAAGAGTTGATTGTTGGAAGAGATGAGGTGATCAGGGGTGCAAGGGTTAGGTTGATACGCAACGGTAAAGAGGTCATTCTTTCTCGCCCTGTCCAGAAACTCTATCCAATCGAGGTTAATCATAGCCAGGAAACAGAGAAGCAAAATAAGAAAGATAGATTAGAAAAGGGAAACAAAGCGAATGCTGAAAGTGTGAGGCGAGAAGGGAGACCAAAAAGAGCAGCAGCATTAGATTCAGAGTGGAGAACGAGAAACATGATTAATTGACTAGCTGCGCTAGTCAAGGCGGGGAGTGTGTCGTGAAAATGTGTCAAATGTCATGTTTGTGTTGTGTGTGTATTTTATATTCATATAGTTATATTCATTTATGTGGAAATAGAGTAACTTGAAAACAGGGGAAATAATGCGCGCAAACAAACGCACGTCCAACCACGAAGAAGGAAACCGCCTGTCCCACACGCTAACGCAAACGGATGGAAGAATGGGGGCAGTGCGGTTAGAGAGTTAACCGCGTTGCGGGAAAAAACATCCTGGGACGTGCATAAATTGCGCAAAGGAAATTGATGTCAAAATGGAATAATATCCCCTATAGCTTTAGTATAAATATATGTAGAATTGTAAACTTTAAGTTAGTGTTATTAGGAGAGTTGTATTGTGTGGTGTGTTGTCACCGTAACGTCAGAGTGAGTGTGTCTTTCTTAAGCGTGTCGTCTTAAGAGTATTGTGTCATCGACGTGCACTAAGTGTGTACAAAATATACCTGTACATAGAGTGTTAATAAAAGTTAAAAATACAGTCCCCGAGTTGTGGTATTCGTTGAATCTGGTGCCAGCAGCAGCGTAACTTGCAGAGAGGCGAAGTTGCGCGACATGCCGTCTTTATCGAGTATGACGTTTCAACAATTTTTGAAATTCATCTAGGGATTCTGCTTGTCTGATATTACTAGTCTGTTCCACAAGACCGCGCCATTATAACTAAAGCTGTTTTTAAGATAATTGGTGCGGGATAATGGAACAGCAAGCTTGTTCACAGAGTCCCTGAGTGAATAGTTAGTTACAATGTTACGATTTATAGTTTTATACATTTGAAATGTAGATATGCAGGAGTGAGATCGTGTGTAGACTTATAAACCATCAACGCTTTCTGAATTTGGCATTGGGTATTTTGAAAAGGTTAATACTCGAGCTGCTCGGCTTTGTAGTTTCTGGATTTGATCAGCTAAGGTCTTTCCACAGTTCCCCCATACGACGTTACAATAGTCAAAGTAAGGTTGTATTAGAGCTCAATAGATTAGGTATAATGTTTCTGATGAAACAACAGACCTTAAACGCTTAATAACGCTGATACGAGAAGCTACTTTTTTAGTTATTTTTGTCGATATGGTAACTCCAGGTTAAGGTGGCTCCCTAGAGTTTTAAGAATATTGAAAACTAATGATTTAGATTGAAATTTTTGGCAGGAAATTTCTTGCTAAACGAAATGAAATTTTCCAGGTATATTAACCAACATTCTAATAGTCGAAAATTGTTATTGAGTATCACGTCATTACCGTTGTTATGGTAACAATGGCGATTCAATATGGCCGTCATTTTACCTGTTCATGCATTTACTCGAAAACAAGTTCGGTTACCCCAAATTTTTATTTTGTAAAAGTTTTACTACAAAAAGATGGGAAATTTGACTGCAAGTTTTAAAAAATTCTATAGAGCCAAATCACGTTTTTTAATTTTTCATAATCTTGGTTCTATAGAATTTTTTTTTAGTTGTTCAAATTTTCTATTTTTTTTGTAAGAAAACTTTTTATAACATAAAAAATTGAGGTAACCGAACTTGTTTTCGAGTAAATTGTTATGATATTAAATTATACTGTCACACGTAATGTTATGCTTTGTTTATTATCATAAATATGCGTCTAAAATACTCAATTCGTCAATACTTGAATCACATATCTTCTTCCTAGCC